TCCCCTGTGACCCGGGCCGTGACCGAGCCTCAGTGTGCGTCTTCCCCGCGTGTCCCCCATGACCCGGGCCGTGACCGAGCCTCAGTGTGCGTCTTCCCCGCGTGTCCCCCATGACTCGGGCCGTGACCGAGCCTCAGTGTGCATCTTCCTCGCGTGTCCCCTGTGTCTCAAGCTGTCTTAGCCTCACTCAGCATTACGCTGACACGTGCACCCCGCTGTGCTGAAGACATTGCCTGGCTCTTCGGTGACAATCTCGCTTCGTTTCTCAGTGACATCAGCTCGGACATCCGTGTGATCTGTATGGGGGAACTTGGCTGCTGGATCAGGCTGTATCCAGACATGTTCCTGGACAACAACTACTTGAAGTACATCGGCTGGATGCTGTACGACAAGGTATGTGCGCCCTGCTGGTCTGCCGCCTCCACTGAGAGGGCCCACAGGTGTGTCGTGTGTCTGGTTCGTTTGTGGAGCGAGCACGTGTCTCCCGGACGGTTCTCATGAGTCCAGCTTTGTGAAGGAGGCTTTCCACAAAGCAGCAGTTTTGTAGCTGTCCTCGCTGTGGGGTGACAGAGGGCTCAGGCTGTAGGGGCTCACCTGTGCCCTGGAGAAATGGGGACATGGCCCTCCTTCGTGTCTGCCCTGCGGCACAGGGTTTGCATCTGGGTCCCTAGCTTAGCTAATGGGGCAGGCACACAGGGGCAGGGTCGGCTGTGTGCAGTCCTAGGCTGCCCGCCCCATCCACCCTGTCCGTCTGCTGCCCGCTCTCAAACTGGGAGACACGTCCACAGTCCTGAGACTGCCTGACACAGGGAATCCTAAGCACGCGCCTGCTCCGGGTAGTAGCTCTGAATCCTGCACGTTCACATCCCCAGCAGCGCAAATGTGTGTTGGGGGACACCCGCAGTTGCCAACATTGGGCGGTGTTTCTCCTGTCATGGACATAAACGAGCAAAAGTCAGTTCTTCTGAATAGATGCCCTCTGTGTTAGAACTAAACGTGATGAAGCCCTAAGGATTGCCTGTGACGGCCCCGCGGCTGTGTTTCATGTTTCTGGAACTGATGGTCCTGTTTTGTTCTCCTCCTCCTCTGGCCTTCCGAGCTGGGGCTCTTGCCTTGTTGGGGGAAGCAGACAGGTGTGTGGGCATGTGCGCATGGGGGGAAGCGGGCAGGCATGGGGGGGAAGCGGGCAGCTGTGAGTGGGGTGGAAGTGGGCAGGTGTGTGGGGGGAAGCGGGCAGGTGTGGGGTGGGGGGGAAGCAGGCAGGGGTGGCGGAGGAGAAGCGGGGGGGGGTGTGGGGGGGGAAGCGGGCAGGTGTGGGGAGGGATCTCTGTGCGGTGCACACACTGCTCTGTGTGCTTGTTGCGGGTGAGGCCCCAAACGAGTTTCTGCATCATCTGTGGGTTTTCACAGCTTGGTGGCTTATTCCACGTTAGGTCGCACGGCACGTTTGCTTCGGCGTGCTGCCGGTGATCGGTGTGCCTGGCAGGGCAGCTGTCGGTCATGCGTGGTGACCGGTCTTGGGTTGTGAAGACGGGGTTTCTTTGCTGCAGGGCAGGGGAGGGGGATTGGAATGTCGAGCCATTGCTTAGTGTGCTGTGTGGGCCCCGTGGCGGAACACCACCAGCGGGGGCTCTCAGTCTGCACAAGCTCATTGCTCTCACGGCTGGGCTCTGACGTCCCAGGCCAAGGTGCCGGCAGACATGAGTCAGCAGAGGATTCTCTGTCCTGCTTCACGGAGGGCATCTCCTCACCGGGTCCTCACATGGAGGAGGGGGCGAGGGGGCGAGGGGGCTCCCCAGATCTCACCCTACCCCTAACCCTTATGACCCCATCACCTCCCAGAGGCTCCGCCTCCACATACCATCCCCTTGGGGGTTTGGGACTTAATATATGGATTTTGGGGGTCACAGACATGGGTCTGGAGCAGACTTCTCTGCTTTTTATTTGTGGGGGGTGCGCAACTGGCTTAGTGCACAAGAGACAAGCATAGAGACTTTCCTGGGGCCCCGGCCAAGGGAGCCCACGTGTGGAGGGAGGAGGCCGGTCAGGGCACCAGTTGTGGCCAACGTGGGGCCTGCAGGGGTCCGGTGAGGGCGGCTGTTCCAGCAACGTGGGGCGTGTGGTGGCTGCCGGGATGCTCTCTGCTGCCTGGGGAGCTGGGATGCAGAGGGTGGCTTCCCTCCTGTCCCGACCCCGCTGTGCTCTGCTCTGCTCGGGGCATGGCGACAGACCTCTGGGAGGGCCCTGTGACACCCTTCAGAGCCCGGGAGTGGCTGTCGGAACGTCCCCTGCAGGGACTGACCCCCGAGTGCAGAAGACGTGGGCTCTCCCTGCAGGCAGCCGCCTGGTGCACCCCTGCAAGCAGGTCAGCCTTGAGCAGCCTCACCCCACCTTGTGCCTCGTGTCTGGCCCTGGGCCTGTGTCCTGCTTTGGACTCTGCTTCTTTATTCCCTGAAACGATCTCTCAGGGGGCTCACTTGGTTTTCTGCAGAGAAGGAAGTGGGGCGTAGAAAGGTTGTGTGCCTGCCCTCCACTTTGGATTTGGTGGTCCGGGTGCATGTTTCTTTTTTCTTTTCTTTTCTTTTTTTTCCTTTTCCTCTCTTTTCTTTTCTTTCTTTTAAGATTTTATTTCAGAGAGAGAGAGAACGTGTGTGCACACATGAGCCGGCGGTGGGGAGGGGAGCGGTGCAGGGGGCAGAGGGAGAATCAGGCCGAGCAGGGAACCCAGCGAAGGGCTCAATCCCAGGACCCTGGGATCATGACCTGAGCCAAAGGCAGACGCTTCACTGACTGAGCCCCCCAGGCGCCCCCTGGGTACATTTTTCTGAGTCAGTGTCTGTGTTCTCACTCACACAGAGGACACTGGTGCTGGACGAGATCTCTCAGAAGATAAAACGTTGGTAACTCCATGGGTACAAATGCATGTTTTCTCTGCTTAGAAGAAAAGTCTTGCAGGGGAGCCTGGCTGGGTCACTCAGTGGAAGGTGGGACTGTTGATCTCGGGGTCCTGAGTTCGAGCCCCATGTTGGGCATGGAGCCTTAGAAAAATAAACAAAATACAATATGGGTGCCCAGGGCTGTTATAGCTGTGGGCATTGAATTAGCCAGTTTGGGTGGCCATAAAAGACATCCCAGGCAGGGCAGCTCAAACAACACACATTTATTCCTCCCAGTCCTGGAGGCTGGGAGTGAGATCCAATCAGGGCTGAGGCTGGGAGTGTGAGATCCAGGAGGGGCCGAGGCTAGGGTCTGAGGCCCAGGAGGGCCCGAGGCTGGCAGTCTGAGATCCAGGAGGGGCCGAGGCTGGGAGTCTGAGATCTAGGTGAGGGGCCGAGGCTGGTTCCTCCCGAGGCCTCTGTCCTTGGCATGTGGACCCCGTGTTCTCCCCGTGTCCTCACGTGGTCGTCTCTGGGGGTGTCTGTGTCCTCATCCGCTCTTCTTGTAAGGACGCGATCCTATGGGATCAGGCCCACCCTTGGGACCTCATTTTACAACTTAATCCCCTCTTTAAAGACCCCACCTCCCAATACGGCCCCATCCTGATGTCCTGGGGGTGAGGGTTTCAACATGTGAGTTTGGGATGCACAGTTCAGAGCCCAGCAGGCATGTTTCTGGACTGCGTGGGGGTTGCAAAGCTCCATGTCCCAGCTAGAATGTTCTAGGCTGAGGGCTGATCTGTGCTGTCATGGACAGAGGCATTTCTGACTGAGAGTCTGTGGTGGGGAGGCTGCCCTTCCGTGGTAACTGGACCCCATTTCTCTGTCCTGAAGGACGCGAGTGTGCGGATGAAGTGCATCCTGGCACTGAAGGCACTCTACGAGAAGAGAGAGTCAGCTATGAAGTTGGGCCTTTTCTTCTATAAGTTCAAGGTGAGTGAGATTTTGCGTCTCGCTGCTGCACCCCCCGTGGCTGGTGCCCGGCGTCCATGTCCCCAAGCATCTCGGGGGATGTGTGGAAGTGGGGCCGTGTCCAGCAGCCGCTGGCTGGCCTAGAGTGCCGGCCACGTCTCAGCCCGGTGCTCGGGGCTGTTGTCCTGCAGAAGAGGAACTGGGAGCTTCTCTGGGTGTCCAAGCCCAGGGCCCAGCTGCTCGTGCTTCACGGCCCACCGGGTGACGTGGACCCCGGCAGCAGGGTGCTGTGTGTGCAGGGCTGAGGTTGGAGCCCGTGCACACCCCCAGTGGGCCAGTGGGAGTGCTGACCTCTAACTTGTGGTGCGGAAGCTGGCAGGGTCAGCACCGCTGACCTGATGGAGGAGCAGCTGATGCAGTTAGTCTCCAGGGTCCCCTCGCAGAGGTTCAGAGCTGCTCCGGACTGTGGGTCAGTAGTCAGCTGCACGGGACAGTGCAGGGGTGCAGCCCATGGTGCATTGGTACCAGCTTGTTCCTGAGTTCGGGGGGCCACGCCATCACCCAGGACACTGTCACGAGACCCCACTGCCCATTCTGGAGGACTCCCAACCGTCGCTCAGTCGAGGACTCCAACCCGGGACCCGTGGCTGGAGGGGAGTAGGGGTCGGGCCACGGAGGTGCCCAGTGAACGTGGAGGGCCAGCCTGTGTGGCAGGGGCCACCCGGTGGGGGTCATCTCATCCTTGGGGGTGTGGGGGAGAACCCAGCGTTCCTTGACCGTGTCAGGGTCTCCAGCGGGGTTGAGCAGGAAACCAGTGAGGCCGGACAGCCAGGAGCCACGCGTGCCCGTGTATTTATAGAAGTCTTCCCTGACCCGGGAGCATTCCCAGGACGCGGAGACCCCCAGAAGAGTGATCTCACACCTGAGGAAGAGTGGGAACCAGGGAAAGACGGGAACACAATCCCCTGCACTGTCTGGGAGCTCAGGATGCGCCTTTCCTCCAGGTGCAGGGAGGCCCCCGCCCATGAGGGTGAGGGGCTGTTGCAGATGGCCCTCCCATACCTCCTGCCGTTTCTCGACCCTTGCACCTTGGAACACCACACCGTGCAAGGGGCCGAGCTGGGGGCAGCATGCCCTGGGCCCTGTCAGGGCGCCGTTGTGTCCAGGGGGGCGCAGAAGCTTCCGGTCCTGGTTTTGTGACCCTGTGAGATGATGAGTGGCAGCGTTTGGGGATGGGGTCCCACATCTGGCAGGTCTGGGGACAGGGTCTCACGTCAGGCGGCTCTGGGGACGACTGTGTGCCCTGCCCTGTGGTCCCGACTTCCACGTGGCGATCCCCACTGTCTCTGGGAAAAGTAAAGTCCACATGTAGAGAGGAGTGAGTGGAGGTTGAAAGCCCAGTGCGGACACCCCAGTGTCCTCGGGGGCATGGAGGGCCTCCTGGAGGTGGTGGTGAATCCCCACGGAGGACGACGGTGTGGTGCCAACCCTGTGTGCCAGCCAGCCGGGACCCATGGCCCGTTTCTGGGGATAGAGGTTGTGCAGAGTAGTCGTCCACCATCCCTCGTAGGAAAGAAGCACTATGTAGGCTTGTCCTCTGGATGGGCACACGTTGTGTGGAGCTCACACCCCCAGACCGGCAGGGATGCGGACCGTGGTCTTCCGGGCGACTGTGCTTGGCCAGTAGCGCTGGTGGAAGCGGCCTCAGGGTGCTTCCCTGAAGCCCCGAGGATCCCAGGCTTCTGCTTCCAGTATCTGCACAATTCCCTCTCACGGTCCATCCGCACCAGCAGTGACAGCTGGGGACACTAGGAAAGTCTGGGGACGCTTGGGTGCTAGCGCCCGTGGGGGGGTGGTACTGACATCGGAGGGCACCAACGACGTAGCTGGATGCCCCATCCCACGAGGGGACAACCCAGCCCCGCAACCTCGGTACTGCTGCGGGGAGAGAACAGAGGCGGGGCTGTAAGCCTGGGGGGCGTGGGGACCTGACCGTGCGGTGGGGGCGGGAGAGGACGCTGCTGGCGTCGAGCGTGTCAGCCTGGGTCCTCACCGCCCCGGCCTCGGGGGTGATTGGTGCCGGGCTGCCAGTCGGCTCCTGACGTGGGGGTGCCTCCGATGGGGCAGTCCGTCCTGTGAGGCGGCGGGGGGGTGGTGTGTGCGGTGCCCTGTGTCACGCAGACGGTGCTGGAACGGAGCCTGTTCGTTTTGTGGTCTTCCTTCCGTAGAAACGAATCCTGTCGATGACGCAGGACAGGCAGCCGGAAATCACATCCGAGTGCATGCAGCTCCTGAGGCTCATATCCGAGTAAGTCGCTGCGCCCGTGCCGCGCGCTTCCCCGCTGGCGGT